CATTCATTGATTGATTCTTGTATGTATCCTGATAGGGGCTTGAACGGGCACCCCAGGCATCCTTGACATATCAGGACAATGCCCTAACCAATAAAGCTACCCAATTGGGGCCAATCAGACCATTTTTAACTGAGCACACTGACCACACAGAATAAAAATACATTTCTCAGCCGGGACCGGTCTGGCTCAATGGATAGAGCGTCGGCTTGGGGACTGAAGGGTCCCGGGTTCGATTCTGGTCAAGGGCATGTATCTTGGTTGTGGGCATATCCCCAGTAGGGGGTGTGCAAGAGGCAGCTGATCGATGACTCTCTCTCTCATCGATGTTTCTAACTCTCTATCTCTCTCCCTTCCTCTCTGTACAAAATCAATAAAAATATATATATTTTTTAAAAATACATTTCTCAGCTTCCCTTCCAGTTAGGTCTCATGAAATGACTGACTTCCAACTAACTGAGATGGAAGCAAGTAAGTCCTTTGACAGTTTCTAGGAAATACCCTTAACTCTATTTTCTTTAACTATCCTACAGTCTGGAAAAGGAATGCTACCATCTTTACCATGAAGGTGACCACATCTTGGGGATGATAAAGAACTGAGGGATTTCTGGATGAGAACTATACAGCTATCTTTCATGTGCAAGAGCAATAAACTTTTACCTTTTAAATATATTTTATTGATTTTTTACAGAGAGGAAGGGAGAGAGATAGTTAGAAACATCGATGAGAGAGAGTCATCGATCAGCTGCCTCTTGCACACCCCCTACTGGGGATGTGCCCACAACCAAGATACATGCCCTTGACCGGAATCGAACCCGGGACCCATCAGTCCCCAAGCCGACGCTCTATCCATTGAGCCAAACCAGTTTCGGCAACTTTTACCTTTTAGAAACCACTGTAATTTAAGGTTTTCTGTCACAGCTAAACCTAATTTTTTAAAATGTATAAAAAAAAAAAAACATGGAAAAGAATAACATTCCAAAGCTTGGAGGTGACTACAATAGGAATGGGAAAGTTCCTTAATTGGACTTGCAAAGATGACTGATTCCTGTATTCTGTAGTCTGCGGAATGAATAATCCCAGTTCCAATGCATTACCGTTGGTGCAATTAGAGGAAAGATAAGCTTTCCTAAAGATACCAGCCTTCCACCATTGTAAGTGGATCAAAAGCGTTTGAGAAAAAGTCAGATTGTTGGGCATGGTGGAATGAACCAGGGAGGGTAGAAGTAGTAAGTGATACAGGGACAGAGGGACAGAATTGAGGATTCTGTCAAAAACAGAGATAAAGGAGGTAGAGTAGCTGAAAAGTACACTAAAGGGACACGCAACTGACATGAAGGTTTTAACGAAGTATCAGACAGCCCATATGAAAACAGGCCCTTGGCTCCTTAGGAAGCGTCTGCCAAGAAAAACTGCTTCCACATAATGACTTCTGCCCCATCTGTAAGATGCAGTTATAAATGTTAAAGGCTCGTGGCTGCTACTTTGAGGTACTGACCCAGCAAATACAGGATTACCTCTCTTTATAAGGCCAAACAGAATTCGGGGGACTAGACCTTTGGTTAGCCCAAAGCCAAAACGAATGTTCCAACAAAACTTCTCCTAGGCAGACATTTTGATACAGAAATGGAAATAACCAAATTCTACTTCTTTAGCTGGGCCTTGTCTAGTAAAGCACTACTGAAGGAGAATGCATACAGGAGAGTCTGTTTATACTTTGGAAGACTAGTAGCTGGAAACATTGGATCAATGTGCAGTCAAGCTATAGTTATGATAGGTTTAGAATTCACAGCATATGCAACACTGGACTAAAAGTTCTTTGCAGATAGTTAAGCAACCAATTCCGGGGTTACGCTAGGTCTAGATGGCTAGGGCTACAGGTGGCTGAACTATGCCTCCTGCTTCCACAAGAGGGTCATAATGTACTTAACAAGGCTTTTCTGACAATCATCTATCAAAAAAAAAAAAAAAAAAAAAGATATATCTAGTATACCTATATCCTTCTTCAACAGCATTGAGCATTTACCAAGTATAATATTAAAAATCCAATATTAGCTGAACCCGGGTTGGCTCAGTGGATAGAGCATCGGTCTGCGGACTGGAAGGTCCCGGGTTCAATTCCGGTCAAGGGCATGTGCCTTGGTTGCGGGCACATCCCCAGTAGGGGGTGTGCAAGAGGCAGCCTCATCGATGTTTCTAACTCTCTATCCCTCTCTCTTCCTCTCTGTGAAAAATCAATAAAATATATCTTTAAAAAAAATCCAATATTAAGTGAGATACAAAATGTAGTTTAAAAAACCCTGTCAATTTGTGTTCCTCGGCTAACTGACACAAGCAATCTTTCTTTCTTAAACCTGGTCCGAAAATATAAAAGTATAAAATCATCAACACAATAGAAGGCTGTGAAACAGTAAACCTTGCAAATCCTGAAGATTTCAAAAGACTAAACACGGAACCATTTTATTCCAAAGTTCTCTGCCTTCTTCCTGAGGGGTTTCCTAAAGGACATGATTAACAAGTAAGGCAGGATTCTTGAAAAACTATTAATCAAGACATCTCAATTTATTTATTGCAAAGACGTTGATAGGAATCAGAGACTGATGGGCTCAGCTGATTCTGCAGAATACTTGCAGGTGTCAAATAGTCATCAATTTATTATTAGTCTTTTATTATCCTAACTCAAAATCTTCAAGCACTTCTGCCTCCCACCAGAATTACATACACTGAACTGTATCAGGGCCTAGCTCAATACAAAAGAACTGCCAGACTGTTGAAGGGTTAAAATGTATCACTTTCATAAATGCTTTTGGGCACAGTATTTAATGAGGGATACTTTATGTCCAAAGAAATGAAAAGAAGAGCACATCTCAGGCCTCTTAACTCTGTCTACACAGTGTGCATGCCTGTAACATTTCCAATGTAACAGGAATGACCACTTGTCACAATTTAGATCCAACCACTGACCCTATATTCCAACTAATTTAGACATTGACATATAAGCAAGGTTAGAGAAGGGAGCCAGACTCCATACACACTCACCCAGTTAATGACACTCTCAAACCCCTCTTCACTCATCCCATTAACATCCTCACAGCACAGCTGTACTGCTGGTGAGAGGGAACATGAACAGGACTGGAGCTAGACAGGGGTAGCTGAGAGACATCTGCCTGTTGGCAAAGCAGAACAAAATTTGCTACCGTTGCAAGCAGTGGTCAAAGGCAGAGCTAAAAAAAACTACACCAAACAATGAAAGGGAGGCGGGTTGGGGTTTTCTGAGTTGAAATAACAAACCTTACACGCTGGATTCTGACTGTCCAGGATAGACAACACCCAAAGGAAGGTATGGGGAACAGAAACCCCACAAATCCAGGTTCCACTCGCTCTGACCGGTTTCATTTGATCACTTCTCAAAAGCCGAGTGTAATGTGGGAGAAGCCGTACAGATACGGCAGTCTTGCTGCACTCTGAGAATCACCTGCAGCGCCGCTTAATACAGAAGCGGTGTCTTCCTTTACGTAATGAATGTCTCAATATCTTCCATTAGCCCCAGCCTGCCGCCTAATCTGCTCCCGCTCATCCCAGCTGGAGCCAGATCCCACACACCACCTGTCTGAAGGTGAAGGTCCAGGTCAGGCGTTCCAGACCCAACCAACTCTTCGCACCAGACCTGCCGCTAACTTTCTGGCCGACTCGGAGCCAGCCACCCACCCGCCTTTCCTTCCTTTCCTTTCCCTTCCCGAGCCTCCATGGCCCCGCCGGCGGCACGCAGCCCGGGCCGGACGGTGTCTAATATCCCTTCCTGCCTGACACCCTGTGAACCTTCCTGCAGGAGGACCTGAGCTCTGGGCTCCATCATTCATGGGGCATTCTGCAGAACGCCAGGATTGATTGATGATTGATTGATTGATTGATTGATATTAGAAACGACCAACTTCCAGAACAACGCTACTCTCCAACTGGTTCTAGACCCCACACTACTCTGAATTCCCATAAACCTGAAAACACGATCCATCGCAGGGAAAACGGCTTCCCCCCCCCCGGAAGGAAGGTGGAGGATGTGAAGACTGGCGGCTCTGGGAGCAGTTACTTTCTCCCACGTGGAGTATGTATGTTTCGTGTTCATTTCATCCAGCCTCCGGTGGCTGTAAGTTACACTGACACCCAAGCGCCCGGGATGGGGTTCCGGGCCTGACCGTCTCCGGGGACCTGGCCAGCCTCGCCGGGACCTGGAGGTTCCGGGGAGCAGGCGGAGCAGCAGCCGCGGAGTGGCCCCAAGTGCCCGAGCACCCCGCGGGAAGAGCCAGAGCAGAGAGGGCGCGGGAGAGGCGGCCTCGCTGTCCTTTCCCCATCGCGGCCCGGGAGGCCGAGGGCGGCGGCGGCGGCGGCTCCGGCCCATCCCACCCCAGCCCGGCCCCGGACTCCCGGCGGCGGGCACGCGGCCGCGGAAGTCACCTGTAAAGGAGTCGGGGTAGATGGACTCCAGAGCCTCCAGCTCGTTGCGCTGCTCCTCGCCGTAGTCTGTCATCGTGGCCCTCGCCGCCGCAGCCCATGGATCGCCCAGACACCCAGGCGGCGCGCCGCAGCCGGGACCACGGCGGCGCCGGTAGAGCGGGCAGCGGCCGGCCGGGCGCAGGCGCAGAGTCCCCGGCTGCGAAGGCCCGCAGCCCACAGCCAGGCGGGCCAGCTGAGCCCCAGCCCCGCGCCGGCCTCCGCGTGCTCCCGAGCTCCGCGTTCGACTCGTCGGGCCTGGCCGGCGGGGCGCTGAGCGGCCGCCTGCGCCACGCCAGCTCCGGGTTCGCAGGGAAGGGGAGGGCTCGGGGTCAGGCGTTCGTCACAGACACCTAGGGCGGGGGCCTGAGCCCGCGAGGCCCCTCCGCGCGGCATATCCGCGCTCGATGAGTCAGGGCTGCCTCGGGTTCCGGAGCCGGAGGGAGTCGCCGGCGGAGGCTCGGGGAGGGAGTTCGCGGCCTCCGCCGTTTCCGGGTTTTCCGTTGGCGATCGGGTGGCCCGGTGGGGCAGACCGGCGCGCGCTGTCAGTGGGGGCTGATGGTGGGGTGCGGGTGACTTCGACGCTTCAGCCCCCCAGGCCCGCGGCGTCCGGCGGGAGCTGGGCGCGGAGCAGTGCAGAACGCAGTGGGCAGAGGGAGGGAAGCCCCGCCGGGGGTCCCACGGGTCCGGGAGGATCGGCCCGGCCCCGGAATAGCGAATCTCCTCCGAGTGAATCCGGGGAGGAATCGGCAGCAAGTCCTGAGATCTCCACTCACAGCCCTTAGGCTTCCCTTCTAAGTTTGTAACGGGAACGCGGCTGCCCGCGGATTGAAGGGGGTCCGTGATTGCGTGTTTCTGTGGATTGATAAAGAGGGCGCGGATGTCGGGAACAGTTTTGATAAGCAATGTGACAGTGTCAGCACGCTGACAGTTGTCCAGGACCTTTGGCTTGGGACAGTAAAGCCGAGGATTGTGCTTCAAATGTATACATGTCGTCTGTAAGTGTATCGCGTCCGTTACAAAGAAGCTTTCCAAAGAGCCCTAGTGGCAAAAGCTTAGCAAGTGGCTTAACGTGTTACTTTTATGAGAAGAATATTAAGTAACTATGTTTATAATAAAGGGACATGGTTAAGTAAAAAAAAAAAAAAAGAAAAAAGAAAGAAAAGAGCGGAAAATAACTCCCAACATTAGGAGATTGTTCACACTTTTTTTATATTTCCCTTTGTTTTGTTTTCTGTATGAAATCAGGTTTCACTTGGGTAGTGGGGGAAACAATTTGTAATAAAGATCCCAATGGTGAGGCTCTCAAGTGTTCTTTCATCATTCTTTTTAATATATTTTACTGATTTTGTACAGAGAGGATGGGATAGGGATAGTTAGAAATATCCATGAAAGAGAGACGTTGATCAGCTGCCTCCTACACCACCACCACCCCTCCCTTTGCTGGGGATGTGCCCGAAACCAAGGTACAAGCCCTTGACCGGAATGGAACCTGGCACCTGCAGGCCGGCGCTCTATCCACTGAGCCAAACCAGTCAGGACTCTCATCATTCTAAAATGAACATGTCCCGTGCGCTGGAGGGCATCCTGGTCTTGGGTTAGGAAGTTTAACTTCCTTATAGCAGAGGGATGCATTAAAACGAACATTCAGATACACTTTAGGGTTAAGGGTTGACGGGGCATTCTTTAAGCCTTTGAGGGGGCGGGGGAGGGAGAGCAGTAACTCCGCACGGCGCTTATTTTCCTGGATTCCTCCGCTCCGATAAATGAAGGGTTTGTTACCGGCTGAAGAACTCCTGGCAGAGGGAACAAGGCAGAGCTCCCGCACTGGAGCCCTCGGCGTTTTGGAAGCCTGTGTGGCTGGTGCACCGGGAACTGGGTGGGGATGGGGGTGGGTTACAGGTCGCGTAGGGTCCTTGGAGGGTTTAGCTGGATGAGGGACAGTCAGCCTACATGACTTTAGCTACCACGTGTAAATGTATGTAAGTGGGACAAAGCCTGGAAGCACGGAGACCAGTGAGGAGGTTATGGTGATCATCTAAACTAGGGGTGTCGAACTCAATCAGAGATGGGGCCAAAATCTAAAATCCAGCCTAAATCACGGGCTGAATGGTTTACTGAACAGTCATAAACTGTCATTGTGATGGAAACGCAGCGGAGTGCAGTGATGACAGCGCAGGGCGGGCCACATTGCAAGGCCTGGCGGGACAGATTTGGCCCGCGGGCCTTGTGTTTGACACATGTGATCTAAGCAAAGACAACGATGACAGGCCGGAGCTGTGTGGAGGAAGGTTTAAATTCTGGGCGGGCGCCTGCAGGCGGAGCCAGGTCTGATCCCGGTGCCATGACTGCGCTTGGCCAACCTGGGAGTGCACAGCACGTCCACGCCGTCAGAGACAGGAGGACGGCGATCTGGAGGGCGATTGTAAGCCTGGGAAGACTTAGACGCCACCCCAGCCCCAGCGGATGGCCGGGTCGGAGGCGCACAACCCGCGCGGGCGCTCACACGGTGGGCGCCCAGAGCCAGGACCCGCTGCCACCCCGGCGGTTTGGGTGCTGTAGAAGGTGCTGGCACCCCTGGTCGGAATACCCCATCTCGCCAAGCTCTGGGAAGGGGCTCGGAGAGCACTGGGCAAGGAAGAAACTGGCACGTGGGCGAGTCCTAGAAAATCATGAGAAAGCGTCAGAATGCCCTGAAGGTAGGCACTACTAAACTGCCTACAAGATTTTACTGTTCTAGGTCTGCCAGTGAATGCTTGGATGTTTTTTGTTTTTGTTTTTTTTAATATATTTTATTGATTTTGTACAAAGAGGAAGGGAGAGAGACAGTTAGAAACATCGATGAGAGAGAGTCATCGATCAGCTGCCTCCTGCACACCCCCCACTGGGGATATGCCCTCAACCAAGGTACATGCCCTTGACCGGAATCGAACCTGGGACCCTTCAGTCCCCAAGCCCCCAAGCCGACGCTCTATCCATTGAGCCAAACCGGTCTTGGCTTGGATGGTTTTTGACCCAACAAAATATAGATCTCATGGGATCTTTTCAAGATGCTTATTTTGTAGGCAGCTTTCTCAAATTTGAATGATTTCAAAATGAAAATCAAACAAAAAGCCGATTACTCTGGATTTATTAAGTGTATATACAATAAAGCACCTCATAGATCCAGATTGGTGATTTTCCCCCCTTTGGCATTTGTTTCTCACATTTCCAATGGAATATGTCCACATATAAAATATTTTATAATAACCCTAGCTATTATTTTTCAGTCCATGTGCTGGACTGAAGGGTCCCAGGCTCGATTCTGGTCAAGATCACATGCCCGGGTTGCACTTTAAACCACCTTAAAAAATAGAATGCAGTGTGTTTTATAACAAATATATTTAATTTACAGGAGCAAGAGTTTTGCCTATGGGGGAGCATCTGCATGCAGGATCAGAATGCTTGTCCCAGAAACTGCCTTAAGAGGTCTTATCCTGTCATTCATGATAGGCATGTGTGTCCATAAACTGAAATGTGTTGGTATGTGAATTCATTTCCTATTGCCATTCTAACAAGTAACCGCAAATGCAGTGGCTTAAAACAAGGCAGATTTGCCCTAGCCGGCATGGCTCAGTGGATAGAGCGTCAGCCCGCCCACTCAAGGGTCCCAGATTTGATTTCGGCCAAGAACACATGCCTGGGTTTCCATCTCATTCCCCAGTGTGGGTGGTGCTGGAGGAAGCCGCTCAATTCTCTCTCATCACTGATGTTTCTGTCCCTCTCTCCTTCTCCCTTCTTCTCTGAAATCAATAAAGAAATATTAAAACAAAAACAAAAAACAAAAAAAAAAAAAGGCAGATTTGTCTCAGAGTCCTGTAAGAACAGTATATGTTTTTTCCTGGTCAGACCCAGTCTTGGAGCTGAAATCAAGCTGTCAGTCAGCAGGGCTGTGTTCCTTTGGGAGGCCGTAGGAGAGAATCCATTTCCTTGATTTGGCTCATGACCCCCTCCATCTTCACAGCCAGCCGTGGCTAATTTCTCGGGCATCACTCTCAGTCCTCCACACTCCTCTTCTGTTGATACTTTGCCTTCTCTCTGACACTGATTCCTCCTGTGGCCCTCTTATAAGGACTCATGATTATATCAGTCCCACCAGGATAGTCCAAGATGATATCTCCATCTCAAGATCCTTACTTCACATCTGCTTTGTCTCTTTTGCCATATAAATTATAAAGTGACATTCCCAAGATCCAATGATTGGAACACGAACACCTTTGGGGAAGCCGATAGTCAGTCTACCACAGTATTCAAACTCCGAGGTACATGAGCCTGTGTGTGTGTGCACGGGAGCGCAGTTTTTCTGGATATTTTCTCAAAATAGCTTTTCCTGGAATGGCTCTTTGAACGAGTCCAGGACTCAAAATAGTTTAATCACCCACTCCCACAATTTAATCACCACCCCTGTCTCTTGTCAGGGATCATCAAGTCCCAGAAAGATTGGCTTGTATAAGACCATATGAGTGATGAGAGAGGATGATTTCCTGACATTCATTTTGACCCTCTATGGCCTATTGAAAACAAACGGATGGATTATAATGTTCGGCCACTCCCTGCACGAGAGAGAATACCTGAGCTTTCCGGTCCAGCCTGTAGTCTGTGGCTAATAGAATCAGTGCTACTGCCTGTTGAGTGGCTCAGATCCAAGGTTATGCCTCACTGAGCATGGAAATGTCACTTTGTTAAGAAGCACAGTGCCTTGAAGGTGAGGCCTCGTACATGCAGGTCCAGTGGAAGTGGAAAAAGAAAGACTCAGATGTGATACTGGCATCTTGTTGGAACTCGGGATGTTTTATTTATTTTCTATTTTTTTAGACATTTTTAAAAATATATTTTATTGATTTTTTGCAGAGGAAGAGAGAGGGATAGAGAATCAGAAACATCGATGAGAGAGAAACATCAATCAGCTGCCTCTTGCACATCCAGGGTACATACCCTTGACTGGAATCGAACCCAAGACCTTTCAGTCCGCAGGCCAATGCTCTATCCACTGAGCCAAACCAGTTTCAGTGGAACTCAGGATGTTTTAGTTAGTTGTTGAACAATTACACCTGCAAGGCCCTGGGAGTTTTATAATCCGCCTTCTGTTTTTGTGCTGTAGTGGAGTACAAGGTCAGATAGCAGGCTACTGGGTTCTGGTTCCATCACTTATAAGTGTGTGGCCTTTGGCAAATTGCTTGACTTCTCTGGATCTTGAACATTAGTTCCACTATTGGCATTTGGTCCGTTGCCCAGTAAGCAGTCATTGTTTTGGTTTAAAAAAAGCCCACATTTTGCTTATTTTGGCCAGTGACCCAGTTGCCCACGTTAATGTGGCAAAAATCAGACACAAGACCCTGGATATATCAGAAATAATCAAGGCAAGTTAGAAAACTGTCAGGTATTGGAAATGCAAAGTCACACAGGAAAGTCAGGTTGGTCTCCCTTTTGGAGTTGTAGATAATGAATATGCAAATATATGTTACAGTCTTGCTTCCTCAAGTGGATTATGAATTCGAAGTTGCA